TATTTTGATAATAATCATATGTGTTTGAACTTTTGAAGAAATTTTTTTTAATGTTTATTCTTAATGCATTAAAGTGTTATTATGATGAATAATAATATATGTGTTGGGACTTTTCAAGGAATTAATATGTGTTGGATTTCAAAGAATTTTTTTTTTATCTTGTTCTTAATGCATTAAAGTGTTATTATGATAGTAAGGCTTGGGAGCTGGGAGAATTTAATAAATGCTAATTTTTTTTTCTTCAAAAAAATCAAGAATTTAAATTGGGATTGAACTCCACAAGGCTTAGGGTAAAAACCTTCCCTTTTACTTAATATATAGCATAGATCATTACATACATTAATGTTTTTAGATATATGTTTATTTAATATATTTGTTCAAGTCTATTCAAATTAATTCAGATTATAAAATTTTTACTCGAACTCCTACCGAATAGAAAATATCTTATCCAAAGTTTTAAAAAAAAATTCAAACAATAAAGTCAAGTTGGTTGAGTTGAACCCGCCTTAACCATCAACCAAACTCAGCTAAGCATGTAACAATTACTTTCGAGCATATAAGGTTGGTTTTGTGATGTGAGTTGACTTTTTAATTTTTTAATTTTTTTGACTATTTAGTTGGGATAAGAAAGTCTCATTTGGAATGAACTTTTTGATTTTGTGAGAAAAATTATAATGATTATGAGTTAAATATGATATTTTATCTATTAAATGAAAAAAATTATTTTATTTTATTGTAACTAAGGTTTCGTTGGGAAGTGGGTTAACTTTTTAGTTTTTTTTGGCGTATTTTTCCTGAGACTAAAAAAACTGGTTTGGGAAGGACTTTTGACTTTTTGGACCTAATCATCTAGGCCAAGATCTTGTCGTATGGAATATGGGATCTGCTCACTTAGGCTAAGCTCTTCTCTTCTCGAACCTAATCATCTAAGCTGAAATCTTGTCTTCTGGAATCTGGGATCGGCTCACTTAGATTGAGCTCTTCTTTTCTCGGACCTAATTATCTTGGCCGAGATCTTGTCTTATGGAATCTAGGATCTGCTCACTTAGGCTTAGCTCTTCTATTCTCGAACCTAATTATCTAGGTCGAGATTTTGTCTTCTAAGATCTGGGATCTGTTCACTTAGACTGAGCTCTTGTCTTCTCTAACCTAATCATCTAGGCCGAGATTTTCTCTTATAAAATCTGGGATCTGCTCACTTAAGCTGAGCTCTTCTGTTCTCAGACCTAAGCATCTAGGCCGAGATCTTGTCTTCTGGAATTTAGGATCTTCTCACTTAGGTTGATCTCTTCTCTTTTCGGACGTAATCATCTAGGCTGAAATCTTGTTTTATGAAATCTGAGATTTACTCACTTAGGCTAAGCTCTTCTCTTCTCGAACCTAATCATCTAAGCCAAGATCTTGTCTTCTGGGCACTAGTTTTGGCTATTGGTGCCGACATATCCTGTAATGGGAATGTCGGGTGCATTACATTGTTCTACATCATGAAGTTGACCATTGTATGTAAATCTATCAACTTATTTGCCATGCCCTTCAGTTTCCTCTCTTTTCTCTGGCATCTGTCCCTTCATACTTGAAGGTCACTTTCACTGTAGTATTTATCTCGGCTACCCTTCTTGTTCCCTTTTGGGCCTTTGGCGACATTATTCACCTCAGGATTCACTTATCGCACTTTTCTGTTATGGTCCCCTCCTTCAATGTTAGGATCCACATGCTCTTTCTTCTCACTGCGGATGTCGTCCCCAATCCTCACTTCCTGTCTGTTGTTGGCCATTTATCTTTACTAAATTCCCATAAACGGCGCCAAATTGTGGGTGTTGATTTTTTACCACACAACTAAATGGGGAACTCAACTGGAGAGTACCGGTAGAATAGATTAAACCCAACAACCTGCACAAGAAGATAAGAATCCGACGGTGTTTCGTCTACTCGGGGGCACTTCGACGATCAAGTCAGTAATCAATATCTCTCAAAGATAGCAAATTGTGCTTAAACTCACAAGAAAAAACTTCATAAATAAAAGCATAAAAGCATCACAAATCAAATCATACCTTAGACCCACAAGGGTGCCTCACTTTTATAATGATCAGCGCCCAACTTCCTTTAGAAGTCTTAATTCATGGGACTCTATCCTTTACAAGGATAATATCTATCACACCTCACACTATTCAGATTAAGATGAACTCCCTCAAAAGTCCTATCTCTATCTAAATAGGTAGCTTGATGTCATCTAAAACTCTAGTCCTCTATCCAAATATCTTGGATTCCGGTATCCTCGCAGAATACCTCGGCAGTGCCCTAAACATCTCGGCAAACATGATTTTCCTACGTGACACCTCGGCTGACACCTCAGCGTCACTTTAGCCACGTGACATCATCTCTAAATACTTCCCCACAGTTGCAGTTCAAAACTTTATTTTCTTCTATTTAGATATCGTAGGGACAAAGTTAGCACTGTTTTTGTTTTGCAACTACATATAGGTATGTATTGGTAGGGATGAATGTTTAGAATTGTTCAATAATTTATTAAAGTTGGATTCGACTTTTTGTTTCGAGATGGATTGATATGGTTTTATATATCCATGTATATGTATGCTTATTGATTAGGTATTTTTGTGAATGTAAACATGCAGATCCACAAAAATCATTGTTGTTGTGGATTATCATATTTTAATGTTTCGAATTTGGTGATGTGAACTTCAACATTAGAAACATATGATGGTTGCATAATGTGCAATGTAGACTGATAATTGTATGATTATTGCATAATGTGAATGTTCACGTTCACATATCACTGATTATTGTATGAGTTTTCATGATTTTTACATGATTATTACATGGTGTTGTGATTATCACATCTTTAATCAATGTTAATATTCACATTTAGAAATAGTTATACAAACATAAATAACAATGTGATATTTTAGTCACAATGTATTGTGCATCTTAATAATATAACATAGAGATGTTAATGTTCACATCAATATTGCATTTACCATAATGCACACTAAGTGAATGGTTATATGCACACAATAACAAACCATTACCAACAATGTAAATGCTCGCAGTGTCTCTATAATACCAAAATAACATGACAACATTACCATGCATTACTCTTAATAAATCACAATTAATGTTAACATTCACATTAAAAAATAGTCATACGCTAGCATAAACAATGTGAATGTTCACAGTATATGATTTTATGAGGGAATATTATTTACCAGCATGCATTTATAATTTGAAAATTTACATTAACATTTGGTGAGAGATTTTCAAAAAGTAGACGATTTATGATTTTAGGAATGTAATAGATTTTTTTTTATGGAATAAATTAGAGATTTTCTCCATACAATTAGAGAGATATATTCTTTATGGAACAAGGGAAAGATTTTATTCCTGAAATGTATAGATTCTCCCCGGATTAAGGAGAGATTTTTTCCATGGAATAAAAGAGAAATTTTCTTCATGTAATGAAGGATTGTTGTTATTTCTTTTTATTGTGTATTAGTTTCAAAATGAAAATATGTACAAAAAGTTAGAATGATGATTTGGTCGTATTACCTAATGGAATATTAAAAAAAAAGATGGATTAAATAGAATATAACAATTAAAAATAGGACTTTCTGGAAAATGACCTTTTTTTTTTTTGCAGCAAAATTATTAATTTGTTAAAATTAGACTTTATTTACATTTTTTTAAAAAAATCATTAATAACATCAAAATAAATAATTATCTTTACAATTAATGAGTAAGAATAAAAAAAAAAAATTTGTATTACATTATTTATGTGTATAATATATATTCAATACGATTTAATGATTTAAATTACTTTAATACCGTGCTATGCATGAATTATGTTTACAATTATCAATATATGTGAATTGTGATTTTTAAATGTCTTTTTTTTTTATATTATATTAAAATTTAATATTTTGGTAATAATCATATGTATTGAACTTTTCAAGGAATTAAATGTTTTTTTTATTATTCTATTATATTAAAGTTTAATATTTTGATAATAATCATATGTGTTGAACTTTTGAAGAAATTTTTTTTATGTTTATTCTTAATGCATTAAAGTGTTATTATGATGAATAATAATCATATGTGTTGGGACTTTTCAAGGAATTAATATGTGTTGGATTTCAAAGAATTTTTTTTTATGCTTGTTCTTAATGCATTAAAGTGTTATTATGATAGTAAGGCTTGGGAGCTGGGAGAATTTAATAAATGCTAAATTTTTTTTTTCTCAAAAAAATCAAGAAATTTAAATTGGGAGATTGAAGCTCCCACAAGGCTTAGGGTTAAAAACCTCCCTTTTACTTAATATATAGCATAGATCATTACATACATTTAATGTTTTTAGATATATGTTATTTAATATATTTGTTCAAGTCTATTCAAATTTAATTCAAGATTATAAATTTTTACTCGAACTCCTACCGAATAGAAAAATATCTTATCCAAAGTTTAAAAAAAATTCAAACTAAAGTCAAGTTGGTTGAGTTGAACCCGCCTTAACCATCAACCAAACTCAGCTAAAGCATTAACAATTACTTTCGAGCATATAAGGTTGGTTTGTGATGTGAGTTGACTTTTTAATTTTTTAATTTTTTGACTATTTTAGTTTGGGATAAGAAAGTCTCATTTGGAATGAACTTTTTGATTTTTGTGAGAAAAAATTATAATGATTATGAGTTAAATATGATATTTTATCTTATTAAATGAAAAAAATTATTTTATTTTATTGTAACTAAGGTTTCGTTTGGGAAGTGGGTTAACTTTTTAGTTTTTTTGGCTATTTTTGCCTGAGACTAAAAAACTTGGTTTGGGAAGGACTTTTGACTTTTTTGATTTTTTTGTGAGAGAAAGAATATAGTGATTATGAATTGGATGTGATATTTTATTTTATTAAGCTAAAAAATTTATTTTATTTTCTGCAACTATTTTAGCAAAAAAAAAAAAAAAAAAAAAAAACCCTAAAACCTACTTTCCAAACAGAGGCTAAAATACCCAAACGAATTCATGGTGTTGTTGTAGCCTCCAGCTTCCATAGATTGATTGCATCATAAATTGTAGCAGAGCTGTGGTGCGATAGATCTGAATCGGAGATTACATTCTCACTCTCTGCCAAAAATGTCGTCTCAAAGATTCTTGAAGACTGTGAAGAAAGTCTTCCCCGCAAACCACACCTCTAATCCAAATCAAGAAACAGCCAATTTGATATCCAAAACCCTAATCAACTCAGCCTCAAATCCCCTCCATTTCACCCCGTTTATCATCTCCAATCTCAATCCCCAAACAACCCACCTTGTTCTCTCAAACCCACATCTCCCAATCCAATCTTGCTTCCACTTCTTCAATTTCCTCCAAACAAACCCATCTCTCACTACCCACAAGCCCAATCTTCAAGCCCACTTAACCCTTGTTTGCCGCCTATTCAAATCCCGGAACTTCATCGAAGCCAAGAAAGTATTGAACAATGTTGCAATTGATGATGATCTTAGAAACCCAGTTTTGGAAATTGCTTCTTTGGTGGCACAAGATTGCAAAGAACCCAGGATTGTTGTGAAGCTGTTTGATATGTTGTTTAGAGTTTATGCTGATAATCAAAGGTTTCAAGAGGGTTTAGAGGTGTTTGAGTACATGAAAAACAATGGGTTTGAGATTGATGAGAGGTCTTGTATGGTTTATTTACTTGCACTGAAGAGACATAATCAAGTTGAGCTATTGCTTGATTTCTTTCACCGGATGGTCGAGTCTGGTGTGAGAATCACTGTTTATTCAATGACTACGGTGATTGATGGCATGTGTAAGCTAGGAAAGGTTGATAAAGCTAGAGAATTGATGAATGAAATGGTTGGTAAAGGGACTAAACCCAATGCATATGCATTTAATACATTGTTAGATGCATATATAAAGAAATCGGATTTTGAGGGAAAGAAGGACATATTGGGAGCAATGGAGAAGGAAGGAGTGGCATACAATGCAGCAACGTATACCCTTTTGATTCAAGGGTTGTCATGCTCAAGCTCTGGCAAGATTGAAGAAGCAGAGAAGCTGTTTGATGATATGCGTGAGAAGGGTATAGAGGCCGATGTTCATGTGTACACTTCGTTAATAAGTTGGAACGGTAGGTTAGGAAATATGAAAAGGGCATTTCAATTGTTCGATGAATTGACTGAAAGAGGCATTGTACCAAATGCACATGCTTACGGGGCTTTGATTAATGGATTGTGCAAGGCGGGCCAGATGGAAGCAGCAGAAATTTTGTTGAACGAGATGCAAAGCAAAGGGATTGACTTGAATCGAGTGATATTTAACACGTTGATAGACGGGTATTGTAAGAAAGGGATGATCGATGAAGCATTGAGGTTGCAAGTTGTGATGGAGAAGAAAGGACTCGAGGCAGATGTATTTGCTTATGACATAATGGCTACAGGGTTATGTAAATTGAACCGGTATGAGGAAGCAAAGAGGTTGTTATGCTCAATGGTGGATAAGGGTGTTTCACCAAACACAGTGAGTTTCACCACTTTGATTGATATACATTGCAAAGAAGGAAATTTTGTTGAGGCTAAGAGGCTATTTAGGGAGATGGAAATTAAAGGCATTACGCCTAATGTTGTGACTTACAATGCTTTAATAGACGGGTATAGCAAGAAAGGGATGATGAAAGAAGCCTGTAAGCTAAGAGATGAGTTGGGAGCGAAGGGGTTGACGCCAGACGTTTATACATACACATCACTTGTGCACGGAGAATGTATAGCTGGAAATATAGATGATGCATTGAAATTGTTCAATGAAATGCCACTGAGGGGGTTAGTTCGAAGTCTTGTGACTTACTCTGCAATGATTTCAGGCTTGTCAAAGGAGGGGAGATCGGATGACGCTTTTAGATTGTATGATGAGATGAAAGAGGCGGGTCATACACCTGATGATGCTGTATACACTTCACTTGTGGGAAGCCTTCATGCAGTCGGTTCTTAATTTTACATGGTTCCACCGGCAAATGGATTGTCTTTCGACTCAGTTTTGTTGTAGAGATGCTCATCCACAATGTACATGCAAATCCACCCAGATCGCAAATTTTGTTTTAGGGAAAAGCTCTATAAGTAAAAACTTTCCCAGCCACCAATTGTTGTAAATTTGGCATGCTTATCCACAACTTCCTGATGCTCTAGAAAAGTGTCTTGAATAGTTAAATTGTTCTCGGTATCAATTATGCGTGTTGTGTGAGGAGTTCTACTTGCAATTTAGAGGCCTATATATAAAAACCTTTTTCATTATCACAGCAAATCCTCAAAAAAACTTGTATTAAATAAAGTACATACTTCAACTTTCTTGTGCTAGAACTTTGGCCTGTAAACACGAAAGTGATCCATGCTCCTTTGTAAAGATTAGTGAAATCAAATGTTGTTTGCATTTTACAGCTTCACTGACATGACTATGATTGAAATGTACAAGCGAAATGAAAAAAGCGGAGAAACAACATTGTATATCTGAACACCACAGAATCTTGATGCAATAACGAGAGAGAGAGAGAGAGAGGGAGAGAGAGAGAGAGAGAATATGGATACACGGGGCCAACAACGTATGTACATTCATTTTTTTGGTGCTGGTACATTCAATTCACTTGCAGAATAAATTCAGCTTGAAGAACCCTAGAAATTCAAAGCTTACTAATTTTTCTGCACTAGAAAGATTTCAAAGAAAGAAAAACCCTGACCCTGTAGAACAAAATGGCAGAGGGCCATACGTATCACTAAATCTAAATTATCAAATTTGCATAAGCTTCTAGTCCTTGGCTACTGAGACTTTGCCTCAACTTGTGTAAGGCTCGGGTCTCCAGCTGCCGTACTCTCTCCTTAGATAACCCAAAAACATCACCGATTGCAGACAGTGTTTTTGGTTTGTCGCCATCAATGCCATATCTCAGCCGGACTATTTTCCTCTCTTTAGGAGAGAGAATGCTCAGGACGTTGCGGACGTGCTGCCTCATTAGTTGCTTCTCCACACTCAGATCCGGGATCTCAATTGAAGTGTCGGCTGTGATTTCCTGTGAGCAAAGCCAAAATTGAAAACTCTCCTTCACATAAATCACAAAGTTACCTATATTTATATAAGACTATGCCTAACATAAAACGCTAAGTTTGTTTTTTCAGTCTTTTTCACAACATTACAATTCAAACATGAACTATTATAAAGCGTGGGTTTAGCAATTGCTATTTTAGTAGTTTTTTTTATTGGGTTTTTTTCATCTTTAGTGACCTTCTTTTCTTTTTTCTTTTTTAATTTTCAAAATAACTTTTCACTTTTAGCTGATCAAAAAATATTCCTAATACGGTTGAAAGTACCTCAAAACCTATTCTCTAACTTCTACTTTCTGATTTTCTAATTTAAAGTTATACTCGATGGTCTGGATGGAAATCAAGGTTGCTAAAAGGAATACCTGAAAAGTAGTGTTTTGGTCCGCCCACACAGGCTGCTGCATCGAAAGAGGCATCCTTGCAGAATGTAACAACAATTCCAACTTATCGATTGTCATTCCAATACGTACTGCAACTTCCTCTTTTGTCGGTTGATGATTTCCTTCTCCAATGCATGACCTCTTTGCTTCCATCACCTTGTACAGAAGGTTATATACATTATCCTGCAACATCGATTTGTTCTGGGTTAAACTCAACCAATTCAAAATTTTCTTCAACAGCGAGTCTTCTAAATACTTGGAAGTCAACAAACATATGAATTTCATAACATAGTCAACCCACAAAACCGAGTTAGCAAAAAATGGTCATTACTGGCAGGCGAATTGTCCTAGAATGGTGAAAAATGGCTTTCCGAATCGATTGTCTTATCCACCAGTAAGCATAAGATGCAAATCGGCAGCCACCTTGAGGCTTGAATTTCTCGACACTTCTCATAAGGCCTCTACTTCCCTCCTGCAACAGAAAAGCCAATGGATCAGTAAAGAAACAACAAATTTGACTTTTAATTATTGGTTCCTCTTGATGTTCCATTTGATTTCCAAGAAAAGAAAACAGTACATGGAATATTACATCTGCAACTCCCATCAAAATAAGAATCTGACAATGTATGGTTTCGTTTTCAAAATATGTTTTCTAAAAAAAATTCAAAAAAACTAAGAACTAGTTTGGTGAAAAAATGAAAAAATAAAAAACACTAATCATTTTTGTATGATTTTCACTTTTTTGGGGCAGAAATAATTTTTGAAAGGTAAAAAGGTAAGGATGTCTCGAAGTAACAAGTTAGTGTTTTAAGTGGGATCTTCAGCGAGATAAAAGATAGTCCAGGTAAAAGAAAACACTAAACGAGAAGTGTTTCTGATCTTATACTTTTCACAAGAAAAAGGGTCAACAAAAAAATATGTACATCAGAGATTGACCAATCCTCTGTTGCCAGTAATACTCTGTTACCAAAACTTAGTAAGGGCAAAATGATAAGGATGTCTCAAAAGTAATATGTTCGTTTTACCTGCAATAAATCTTGAAGGTTGAGACCACGCCCCTGGTATTGTTTGGCAATATGAACCACCATACGAAAATTGGCGTAAATTAACCTCTCCCTGCTACTGTGACCACAGTGGAGTCGCATCTTCAACCTCTGACAACTAAGCCCAACAGCTGCAGCCCATTCGATTAGTGTCGGTTCACGGTCAAACTGAGACAGAAGCCTACTCTTCACTTCCTCCAATCTCATCAGATCCTGAGATACAATACAAGTAAGCATCAGTTTGTTGATCAAATTTTCCTTAGATGTTGGAGAAAAGATAGAACCACAAGTAGACCTGTATCTGAGCAATCAAATCAGATTCTTCTTCTACAGCCAAAAGTTGCTTAGTTTCTGCACTCCGAAGAAACAGTCGAAGGGGGTCGTTTGGATCGAATGCTTCGCTTGTTTTTCTTTGTAACTCTGCCCTTCTCTCATGAACCACAACATTCAGCTTTGTCACCCTCCTTCTCTTAGATCGCCTCTCTAGTAGACGTGTTGACCTTACGGTTTTCTCCTCAGGTGGAAAATTATCGAAACTTGTGGATCTTGAACTGAACAGAAGTTGAAGACATGAATCCCAAAGAAATTGCATTGTAACAAGAACATAATATTATTGGGGGAGATGGGAAACAGTAAACAAGAAACTGACCTAGGAGTTAGGCATTCATCAACATCGGCTTCAAATAACTGTGAATCCTCAGCTAACAAAGCGGCTTTCTTTGAGGCTGACAAAGCTTTCTTAGCAAGGGCAACCACATTATGTGGTTCAATGTCCAACATAAGCTTCTTTGCTTTACTCGAAACAGAGAGCATAGTTAAGGATGTTATTTCCTCTCTCAGCAAAAACTGCAGTCTGCAACAGATACCACATGAGCAATTAATAATGGATAGCAGTAAAGAGAAGTTTGTCCTATACACATGATGGGACATAATACATTGTGAACCTACTATATTAGATAAAGTAGTAAATTAGTGCATGTAACAGGCTGAAAGAGTCTGATAGATATTACTGATACCTTAAACCGGGCAAATTAAGCATCTGACGTTGAAAATCCTTTAGGCGTTGATCAGAATCAATATTTATATTCTCTTCATGTTCTGAGGACCCACTTTCCATCCGCCTACTGTCCAATGTTACCTTTAAGAGTATAGAAACAAGGTGATAATCAATGAGATATTAGGTTGAAGCTTTTCATATAAGGAGAGAGAGAGAGAGAGAGAGAGAGAACACCAAAAGATGAGTCACAATTTTTAATTCAATGGTTTGCAGTTGATGGTGGTATTTCACTCTCAAGTGTAGGACCATAATGAGGAAAGAATAAAATTTTCCAATCCCAAAGAAGTGAATGAAAATAAGATTTTTTTGAAAAGATCTACTAGGATTAATAGCAGAAGAGATTGGACAGTTGTTGATCAACAGTGCACTTTTGTTAGGGTTTGCAGTGGAATCCCAAGAGACTAGTGTTTATGGAACCTCTTGGGAACACAAAAACTGGCATAAGTGATCTAGTTTATTAAAAATACAGGGTTTCGACATTTCACCTGAGATATTTTATCTTCTTTCATTATGTGCAAGAAAGGCCTATTCTCATCACGCTGCTCTTGTAGAAGAACTGAGGTTGGGAAATGTCGAGCTAAAGAAGAAGTAGGCATAAAGGGAAGTGCACGAGATGCTTGCTCATGAAGCATCAAAACTGCAAAAGTTACAGGTAACATGAGCTTCTTGTTCTGAAAACCAAAACAAAAATGAAATTATGTGCAAGTTGATGGCACCCACCAGCTACAACACCATGAAATAAAATAATTTTGATAGTATAACCAAGAGCTCATTAGTTCTACAAAGCCAAAAAAGTAGAATTGCTCTGTAAGAAAATACACTACCTTGACAAAGGGGAAGAGATGCATGTGGACAAAAATGTGTTTCATATTATATGATAAAAAATGCACTTATTGTAATCTAAAGCATGTGCATGTCACAAAATGAATAAAAATATAGTTTGATATGCATTGTAGGGCCTATTTCCTAACAACTTAAGCTTTTGGGGCAATTGGTGACTTAACATGGTATTAAAACTCAGGTTGGAGGAGATTGGGTTAAAGTCCTCCGTTTACATATGGTCCACATTTGCATTCTTTCTTCTTTCTCTGTATGGAAGACAGGGTTGCATGTGAGAGAGGGTGATTGATAGCTTAATATACATTGTTGGGCTCATTTCCTAATAGATTAAGCTTTGGAACAATCGGTGACTTAACAAATGCAACCTTACATGGATTTTTTATTTATTTATTTATTTTTTCCCTGGGATAGTTTACTTGAGGAGACTTGTACTTGAGTCTCTTTGTTGAGAGAATGTGAGTTGAGTTACAGGGGTGTCCCTTAGGGGACATGGAACCTTACGATATGAGATGATTCCAAAACGAAGTCTAGGTCAGATTCTTAAATTCTTCTTCAGAAAAAACAATCAATCCCCTACTTTTAGCCCCCAAACTTTATTCTATCAAGCCCTAATAAACCCTAACTATTTCCTCCTACATTTTGGCTTTCAAATTAGTACTATACATGCCATCCACAAATTCGTGAAGATACTTTTTCATGAAAAAATAAGCAATCTGACACTTTGAAAAATGAGCTAATTCCAACCCTTTTCAATTTATAAATCCTACATTGTTTCTTCTACATGAAAACTCTTTACTCTATCAAGCCCTAATAAACCCCAGCTATTTCCCCCTACCCTTTGGCTTTCAAATTGATACCCCCACACCCTAATATACACGCCATCCACAAATTTGGATATACTTTTCATGAAAATATCAGCAATCCAACACTTTGAAAATTAAGCTAATCCCAACCCTTTTCAATTTGTAAATCCTACATTAATGAACCGTAACTATTTCCCCTACCTTTTGGCTTTCAAATTAATATCCCCACACCCTAATATACATGCCATCCACAATTTTGAATATACTTTTTCATAAAAAAATCAGCAATCCAACACTTAAAAAATTAAGCTAATTCCAAGTCTTTTCAATTTTTAAATCCTACAATGTATTTTCTACATGAAAACCCTAATTCATAACCTTCCTAAAATCCAAAACCACCATAAACCCAGCACAGGCAAGCATTATTCCTGGTTTCCTAAAGTTGGCCTACGTCAAGCCCAATGCATCATTAACTAGATCATGTGTAAATAAGGGGGAGGTATTAAACTTCTTCCAGCATTAGTATCTTAACCTTCTCAAAGTTTCTTGAGGACAAACATCAAGTACATCTTCACTTGATGAATGTTTCAATCCCAGAGAGCTGCATTTGAGATTCAATACAGATAAACCTTGTCATTTTAAAATTTCTCATGTATGATTAACAACAGCACAATTTCTCACAATTTCAACCAAACATTTTTCACCAAAACTCACTGTACTTTCAAAACTTATCTCGAAATGTTGCTCTTGTGATGAAAAGGATCTTGGATTATATAACAAGATTTCTAAAAAAGTCAATAATTTGAAATGTTCTTGCCTATAGAGGTGGAAGTCAAAACTCATGCTTCATTAGCAATGGCGTTCTAGTTGGGTTTGATATTCAGATATGAGGTATCAAATAGGCCCCCAACAATAATATCCTTTAGCAAGTGGGGATGCACACATTGGGAAGAAGATGAAGAAGAGAAGAAGAGTAGGCCCTAATAAGTGAAACTGGGAGCATAGATTTTAAGGTCAGTTTATCAGTACTGTGTAATTTTTACGCACCACAAAGACAATTGAGTTCTTTATGTGTCATGCTATGAGAATACAACAGAGTATCATTTTATAAAGCGACCTATGGCAAGAAATACAAGGGAATGATAATTAGCGATTTCTGCAAGACTGCAACCTACTCCCAATAGGTGGATTTGGGGAATGATAATAAGGGTTTGAAGGGTATCCAAAGGAGAAACAAACAAAAGTAGTCATCTAAATCATCGCAATTTGAATTGTGCATGATTTGAAATGAGTTTCAACCAGAAATTGTGTTGTTGAACCAAAACTGAGAATTGTTTGATACAATTTGCAATTCAATATGATTCAATTTTGTTATTGTTTTTATTTGCATAATACATCAAACAATGTCATTTTTGCCTCTCTATCAAATAAATAAAAAATATGTCAATTATTGATATATGAGATTTATATTGATATTTATTTCATTTGATATTAAAAACATTCATGATTCGATTCACAATTTGTCAACAATAATTTCAATTATATTCCTCCGTGTTTGATGCATTAGTAAAATTGAAATGTAGGCACCAACTATTAGTAAAATTGAAATGTAGGCACCAACTATCCATACTTCAATCCAAGTTGGATGAAATTTGACTGCCTGTGATCATCATGATTTTTAATGGTTTACTGTCCTAGAAAATCAGAAAACCCCACCCAAAAAAAATTAAAATTTATTTAGACGCCTTTAATTGCTAAAACTAGTTGAAATATTAAGTAAGACATAAGGAGCAAAAGAAAATAGATAAAAGCAAATATCCTTTGAACTTATAATTACCAAGCATTGTCAAATACACCCGCCTACTCTCAAAATCACAATTTATATTTAAACTTTTTTTTACAGAGATGGTGCTTCTTTTAACTAATTGCATAGGCACAATCTTGAGGTCTCATCATTTCTCATTATTTGATAACTTTCTCACATACTCAATCATCCAAACAAGCGAAAAGAAGTTCATTTTCTCTCAATTTCTTTTCCTTTCTCACCAAACCCCTCAATCCAAACTGGGATAAACAAATTCAAAGTGAGCTCAATTGCAAAGCCAAAAACAACCAAAATTTCATATACCCAGATGGTTTTTCTAACTAAATATATGAATTTTGAGTAAATTTACCTGAAGAAGAATAAGATGGGGAGTTCTTGAGATGGGTTCGAGGAGGGACTGGAGGAGATGAAGTAAAAAAGTTCCTTCCAGCCTCCATTGATGTATATATGTATGTATAGGTCAATCTATAAGAAAGTTCCTTCAAGCTACATGGGTAATGGGTTCCTGTTGTTCTAGTGAGTTTGAAGACAAACCCAGAGGAGAGAGAATAAGTGTCAGCACCGAATCATAGGCTCTTCCTTGCCTCAAACTTGATAAACCCCATCTTTTGAGGGGATGAGATTTTTCTTATTCTCTGGTCTGCAGCTTTGCAACAACACCCCTCAATGTTGCCTTAATTGCGTTGGTGCCCTTTCTTCTTTTTTTAATATTATTTGTAAGTTACACTTTTTCTTCTTAAAAGTTGGATCATTTCTCACTTTAGTCCTTAACGAACATATATTCTCCCATTTTGTCCTTATAGTATTTTCCGTCCCTCACTTTAGTCCAATTATCAACCCTCGTTCATTGTTGAGGGGTAATTTAAGAATTTCAGTATAAGTTTTTCACTTTAATCTTTAAAAAAATAATTAGTTTGTTTGGTTTTGATTTTTAGAAAATTTTATTTTTTTTTTATTTTTCTTATTTTAATGTTTTCAATGAATTTTTTAATATTTTAAACAATTTTCTTTAATTTTTAAACACACCTAACATAAATATACTTAAAAAGTATAATATTTGTGATTTTTTTAATAAATACACTAAATAACAAAAAATACGAAAATTTAATACATTTTTCATATTTTTGTGTATTTATTAATTTAAAAAAATATTTTTTCATAAATATTTTACTATTTAAATATATCAAAGTAAGGTGTATTTAAAAAAGTAAAAAAAATGCTTAAAATTTTAAAAATATTCACTAAAAATAAAAAAAAATGAAAAACAAAAAATTCAATTTTTAGGAAACTAAATTTAGAAAACTGAAACCAAACATACTGAATTTTTTTCACTTTAGTACATAATCAAATTACGATTTTCCACTTTTGTTCATAAAATCTTAAAACCACCACCCTAAGCCTTCGTCTTCTCTCACAAGACTCTCGTGCCTAGGCAGTCGTGTGTGCCAAGTTTCATACTACTCTGACGCCGTTCGGTTATTTTGGGGCGTTAGCACCTCAAATTCTAAATTTCTTAATAAACTAATTTGTTTAGAGTGAAATCCGGTTCTAACTCTCAAACCGAGAACCCGATTCGAGTCTCGTCTTCTCCCATAAGTCTTTCGTGCCTAGGTAGTCGTGTGTGCCAAGTTTCGTGCCAATTCAATGCCGTTTGGTGATTTTGAAGCGTTAACACCTCGAATTCTAAGTTTCTTAATAAACTAGTTTGTCTAGAGTGAAATCCAACTTAACTCCCAAACCGGGAATTCGATTCGAGTCCCATCTTCTCCTACAATTCTCTCGTGCCTAGATGATTGTGTGTGCCAAGTTTCGTGCTAATCCGATGCCGTTTGGTGATTTTAGGGCGTTAATGTCTCGAATTCTAAGTTTCTTAAGGAACTAATTTGCCTAAACCGAAATTCGGCTCTAACTCCCAAATTGGGAACCTGATTCGTGTCCCATTTTCTCCCACAAGTCTCTTATACCTAGGCGGTTGTGTGTGCCAAGTTTCGTGCTACTCTGATGCCGTTTGGTGATTTTGGGGCGTCAACACCTCGAATTCTAAACTTCTTAAAGAACTAGTTTGCCTAGACTAAAATCCTGTTCTAACTCCCAAACTGGGTACCCGATTCGAGTCTCGTCTTCACCCAAAGATTGGCATTTGAAATCCTATTGAATCTAAGGTTTCAAAAAAAAAAAAGAGAAGAGGTTTGCAAAAAAAAAAAAGCATGATAGGCTTTGTTTCAGTTCTTGTATAAGCTAACTTCCTAACAAACTTTTCTTGTATAAGCTATGACTACATTCAGATTTAATCATTATTGAAGGAGACATATTGCATGATAAAACTATGACTACATTCTCAAAATTGTCAACCATTCCATTAATTAAATTTCTTTATAAGATATAAAGTTTTGAATTAACTTTTCCCTTCTTTAAACCCAGTTTAGTTGATACGCATTTATTTTGGACCAATCCTCTTATTTCTAATTGTATCTTCTCAACAACTCTATGTGACAACAAGGCAATGATCTCATCATTACTGTAGTTGTTTGGGTATAGCTTCTTTTCATGATTAGGGTTTTCAGGTTATTAAGGTTTCAAAAATGAGAAAGATGAAGATGTGAGAATATATTTGTCTTTTTCTTACCAAATAGTTGACTTTAACTAAACAAATTTCATTCACACTCATTAACATGTCAATGTGAATATTCACATTGTCAACGGGCCGGATCGGGCCCGCCTCGGGCCGCCCATAGGCCGCGGCCGGGTTTCACGCCGCCATGGGACGGGGACCAATTTTACACTCCTATTAATGTGAATTTTAACATGTCAATGTGAATATTCACATTGTCAACGGGCCGGGCCCGCCCTGGCTCGCGGGCAAGTTTCGGGCCGCCCACGGGCCAATTTACATTCTTACAAATGTGAATTTTAAATATGAATTTTCACATCATTAAATTGCTAATCGTTGAAAAAATATTTATAAGGGTATCAAAATTAAATATAAGGGCATAAGTGTCCAAGAAAATAGTATAAATCAAGAAAATGGACTTTATGGAATAAAACTATACATACATGGGACTAAATGGGTTAAAAAATTCCTTCATGGACTTCTTGGGTTAAAACACTTCTAAATTGGACTTATCAATAAAAATCTCATTTAAATACATCAAAGTAAGGTGTATTTAAAAAAGTAAAAAAATTGCTTAAAATTTTAAAAATATTCACTAAAAATAAAAATAAAAATGAAAAACAAAAAATTCAATATTTAGGAAACTAAATTTAGAAAACTGAAATCAAACATACTGAATTTTTTTCACTTTAGTACATAAACAAATTACCATTTTCCACTTTCGTTCATAAAATCTTAAAACCACTACCCTAAGCCTCCGTCTTCTCTCACAAGACTCTCGTGCCTAGGCAGTCGTGTGTGCCAAGTTTCATACTACTTTGACGCCATTTGGTTATTTTGGGGCGTTAGCACCTCAAATTCTAAATTTCTTAATAAACTAATTTGTTTAGAGTGAAATCCGGCTCTAACTCTCAAAGCGAGAACCCGATTCGAGTCCCGTCTTCTCCCATAAGTCTCTCGTGCCTAGGCAGTCGTGTGTGCCAAGTTTCGTGCCAATTCAATACCGTTTGGTGATTTTGAGGCATTAACACCTCGAATTCTAAGTTTCTTAATAAACTAGTTTGTCTAGAGTGAAATCCAACTTAACTCCCAAACCGGGAATTCGATTCGAGTCCCATCTTCTCCTACAATTCTCTCGTGCCTAGACGGTTGTGTGTGCCAAGTTTCGTGCTAATCCGATGCCGTTTGGTGATTTTAGGGCGTTAATGTCTCGAATTCTAAGTTTCTTAAGGAACTAATTTGCTTAGACCGAAATTCGGCTCTAACTCCCAAATTGGGAACCTAATTCGTGTCCCATTTTCTCCCACAAGTCTCTTATACCTAGGCGGTTGTGTGTGCCAAGTTTCGCGCTACTCTGATGCCGTTTGGTGATTTTGGGGCGTCAACACCTCGAATTCTAAACTTCTTAAAGAACTAGTTTGCCTAGACTAAAATCCGGTTCTAACTCCCAAACTGGGTACCCGATTCGAGTCTCGTCTTCACCCAAAGATTGGCATTTGAAATCCTATTGAATCTAAGGTTTCAAAAAAAAAAAAGAGAAGAGGTTTGCAAAAAAAAAACAAAGCATGATAGGCTCTATTTCAGTTCTTGTATAAGCTAACTTCCTAACAAACTTTTCTTGTATAAGCTATGACTGCATTCAGATTTAATTATTATTGAAGGAGACATATTGCATGATAAAACTATGACTATATTCTCAAAATTGTCAACCATTCCATTAATTAAATTTCTTTATAAGATATAAAGTTTTGAATTAACTTTTCCCTTCTTTAAACCGAGTTTAGTTGATACGCATTTATTTTGGACCAATCCTCTTATTTCTAATTGTATCTTCTCAACAACTCTATGTGACAACAAGGCAATGATCTCATCATTACTGTAGTTGTTTGGGTATAGCTTCTTTTCATGATTAGGGTTTTCAGGTTATTAAGGTTTCAAAAATGAGAAAGATGAAGATGTGAGAATATATTTGTCTTTTTCTTACCAAATAGTTGACTTTAACTAAACAAATTTCATTCACACTCACTGCCACGACCCAAACCCGCCCCTAAGGGTTTAGCATCGTAACCGGCCAGTAATCCGTGATTACCAAAGGCCTGCTTAACAGTAATAACAATAGTACAAAGTAAGGGGCTGGCGGAAGCCAAACAGTAAATAAAAGATGTCCAATGAGCTATGAAAATCTAGAAGGCAAAAGACTTTTATGGACTAGTCCACATTCATAACCATAAACATATATACATATCGGATACACATAACATACATGTTAGGAATCCAATCCCTTTACCATAACTGTACAGTCAAAAGCCTTAAACATTCATTACATAACAGAGACAAAAGGGTGAATCTGGAACACCTCAAAACAGTCTTGGCTTGAACGGACTCGGAACCTCGAAGTGAGGCACAATAGTTGGCTTGACAAAACATGAGCTTAACTTGACGCTCCTAGCTTTGGTTCGGTGCTTGGCCACCTACATACATATATAAACAGTGAGCTAAAGCCCAGTGAATAACAACTGTGTAAAGGGATTAAGAATAAATGTCATTTCAGTAATTAAAACAGTCATTTGCATCAGTAGATCAGTTATTCAATCAGTGGCTCATATTTCATGCCATATCAGTCATTTAGAAATCATAGCGATCATACGTGGTACATCCATTAGTAGAACAGTACAGTAGGTCTTAATAGACCAAACAGTTATTGATGGCCATTGAAACAGTAAACAGTATTGGTTCCAAACATTGGAACTAACAGAGATCTCTGTAATAGTAGCAGTAACAATAACAGTACAGTAGCAATAACAGTAACAGTAATAGTAAGTTGCTATGGATGCCACGAGTACAGTTCATAAAATAGGACAAACATTCATTTAGTAAACAATGTCACTTCGGAAAGCAGTACAATCGATTGTTCATAAAATAATTATAATTGAATATATCTTTACAACATTGTTACTCACAGATTACTGGGCTATAGGCAGGCTAATCAGCGTT